TTCGTTAAGCTACATGGAGTGAGGGTACAGCTCCAGGCATTCCTACTGAGTGGTCAGATTCACGTTCCAGCTCCTTCACCCCTGTGGATGAATCCCCAGGTGGGGTGGGTAGGCCCCAATGCCGACCTGGACGCTGTGAAGGAGAGAAAGCTCTCTTTGCCCTCCGCGGGAACCAAACCACGACACCTCGGTCATCCAAATCGTCGTAGCCTAAGCGCTATACTGAGACCCGTATTCCGGCTCCAGCCCTTTTATAACTGACTTCATGGAGCTGAGCCCTTCTTGAGAAGCCGCCAATTCTGCAGCTACACAAGAACTTCCCAGCATTTCATGGAACCCGAAGGTTCACTACCGTGTTCACAAGAGCCCTCCACTGATTCGTATCCTGAGCCAGATCGATCCAGTCCATACCACCCCATCCTGTGTCTCTAAGATCCATTTTAATATTATCCACCCACCTACGTTTTGGTCTTCCTAATGGCTCTTTCCTTCTGGCTTTCCCACTAATATCCTATATGCATTTCTCTTCGCCCCATTCGTGCTACATGCCCTGCTCACCTCATCCTCCTTGACTTGATCATTCTAATTATACTTGGAGAAGAGTACGAGTTGTGAAGCTCCTCATTATGCAGTTTTCTCCAACCTCCTGTCACGTCATCTCTCTTCGGTCCAAATATTCTCCCCAACACCCTGTTCACAAACACCCTCAGTCTATGTTCCTCCCTTAACGTCACAGACCAAGTTTCACACCCATACAGAACCACAGGCAAAATTATAGTTTTGTACATTTTAATTGTTGTGTTTTTAGGTATCACACGAGAATACAAAAAAGTTCTGGACTGAATGGTAGCAAGCATTTCCCAAATTCGATCTCCTCTTAATTTCCTTCTGAACCAAATTTTGAACTGTTACTCTCGTTCCCAAATATTTTAACTGTGCCACATTTTCAGAGCATCTGTTAGCTATCTTTATGTCACGACTTTTATATGTGATATACATAAAACAAGACAAGAACTGTATGCACAGAGTAACAATGCAGGCGCTTCCGCTTACGTTTGTGAATAAGAGATGTTCTCAAGACCTGTGCAGAAATGCATGTACGCCTTCATGCAAGTTGCGCCCCTGGTTACGGAGACGTGCATCTTCTGTACTACGCGGCAACTCGTCACGAAGCATCCGTCATTTTTGTCTGATTTCGGAATGCCGCGGACACACCGCAACGCATCGTCCCCGAGGTCCGTTCTGCGGTTTCGTGTGTGTACAGACGGACAGACGGCTTCGAAAGCGCGGAATTATATTTGCGTGGCAATTTTCTGATAATCACGAAGAGCTGATATCATCTGTTTTACTGTTCTTTTAGTAGTAATTAGCAAAAGCTTTCAAACACGTTGCTGTTACTGTTCTTCAAGATGCTGATGGTGATAATGGTGATCATGCTGTAGTTCTACGCCCCGATTTTTATCGAATCCGAAAGTTGATTACCTTGTTCACACGAAACCTGCACCGAACCCTATCCTAAGCCAGATGAATCGAATCCACATCCTCCCAAACTATTTCGCTATGACCGGCTTAATATTATCCTCCAAGCCAAGCAAGTGGCAAGTCACGATGGTATGTTGCTCGGTTTATTCGACCCTGAAGATAGAGGTAATGTTTCCTCCGAAACGTCGGTTGACTTTCAACGGGCTACTACGTATTAATAGGGCCAAGCTGTAATTCGGTTCGTACCTCAGAGGAAACACTTTGGGCACAGATTACTAAGATACATACGTAATTTACTGATATTCCTGTTTGTCCATCGGATCAAGTGAAACACACAAAAAAAAACGGAAATGTTCAGTCGCTAAAGGACGCGATGCTGCGACAGTGCTGTACCTGGGTCCAACTCTTCTGCGGTTTTCCTTCATTATTCTAAAGAAGTTTGAGATCGCCCTGAACTAACACCCCTGTCTTATTTCCTGTTATTTTCATTATCTGTAGCATAAACTTTACTGCCCCCTTCCTCCGTGTTAAAAAACAAACACAGACCAAGAAATCTTGAGGTGTAGAAGCCTGTAAGCTGCATCAATTCGTGAGTTACCCTCCATTTTGGGGTTTCTGATAGAGTTGGGCCCAAGTTAATGTATATTTGTGTTGGAAGATGTGGTAGTTCCTTCAGTATATATATATAAACAACGCACACAAGGCAGTAAAGCATTCTCTTCCGTTCGTGAACTCGCTATTGACTTCAAAGTGTATAATCGCAAGCACTTCTCTCTAAATAAAACATCGCTATGAGCTGGTGTGTCAGAATTAGAAACGAAATATTATCAGCCTCTAAAACAATGGCATATTCTGTACCTCAGGCACTGAACTCGCACCCTTACGGGAGAAGAGATCTCCGGTCTGGCGATTTTGGTTCCCACCGCGTCCTGAAAATACCGAGCAGTTTCTAATGGTGACGTAACAGTCTTCTAAAACACCACCACATGAAGATATTCTGGAAAGTGTAGGGATAACTCCATACATTCTTTACCTCGGCAGTGGAAAGGGGTGACGGTACCCACGGGTAGGAGGCTGGGTAGGCCCGGCCGTACCGAGATTTGAACCCAGATTCACCAGGTGGTCTTGCCCGTAGCATAGTCACTATAGGTACTGAATTAACCCGCACATTTGGCGGTTTATCTCCTATCCCCTATTGTTACTCTATTGGAGACAGTAAAGTCAGACACAAAGCAGTTAAGTGAGGTGTTCGTTCTGGAGACACAAAAGCAAAACAACAATCACGGAACGATAAGTAGATTTCAAAGGGTTCTGACGGTGGTGTACAACAGCATAAAGTGTAAAGTCTGCAGTTGAACCTGTTCATGCTCCTTCAACTGTTACGGGTAAAATCAGTTTACAACAGGCAGTTCCAATTCATATTACGGGTAAAATCAGTTTACAACAGACAGTTCCAATTCATATTACGGGTAAAATCAGTTTACAACAGACAGTTCCAATTCATATTACGGGTAAAATCAGTTTACAACAGACAGTTCCAATTCATATTACGGGTAAAATCAGTTTACAACAGACAGTTCCAATTCATATTACGGGTAAAATCAGTTTACAACAGACAGTTCCAATTCATATTACGGGTAAAATCAGTTTACAACAGACAGTTCCAATTCATATTACGGGTAAAATCAGTTTACAACAGACAGTTCCAATTCATATTACGGGTAAAATCAGTTTACAACAGACAGTTCCAATTCATATTACGGGTAAAATCAGTTTACAACAGACAGTTCCAATTCATATTACGGGTAAAATCAGTTTACAACAGACAGTTCCAATTCATATTACGGGTAAAATCAGTTTACAACAGACAGTTCCAATTCATATTACGGGTAAAATCAGTTTACAACAGACAGTTCCAATTCATATTACGGGTAAAATCAGTTTACAACAGACAGTTCCAATTCATATTACGGGTAAAATCAGTTTACAACAGACAGTTCCAATTCATATTACGGGTAAAATCAGTTTACAACAGACAGTTCCAATTCATATTACGGGTAAAATCAGTTTACAACAGACAGTTCCAATTCATATTACGGGTAAAATCAGTTTACAACAGACAGTTCCAATTCATATTACGGGTAAAATCAGTTTACAACAGACAGTTCCAATTCATATTACGGGTAAAATCAGTTTACAACAGACAGTTCCAATTCATATTACGGGTAAAATCAGTTTACAACAGACAGTTCCAATTCATATTACGGGTAAAATCAGTCTACAACAGACAGTTCCAATTCATATTACGGGTAAAATCAGTCTACAACAGACAGTTCCAATTCATATAAAACATTACAAAGTTCCACGTTCTCTTGTGTTTATTTTGATGTTGTACCTTAGTTTACTTCAAAAAAAAAACACACGGATTGGGAAGACCAAGAAGAAGATGAAAATACCAATTTTAAAGCTTCTCAACATTGAAATATGGTTGCAGCAACCAGTACTCGAGGTAACGGTCTTCTCGGGTGTGACGCCGTGAAGACTGGTAAATGGGTAGCAAAGTTTTGGACTACTCTAAAGAGTAAAATACTTCTTCCCCGGAAACGGAACAAGCATTTTCCACTGAGAGCTTGGTACCTAACTACCAGACTATCCGACGTCATATTTCGGAAGACAGTAATTTTTATACCACCTCCATGCTAACCTCAAATCTCTCATATGATAATCTTGATTTGTTGGTTTCACGCGGACTGGTTTTGGGCGTCTATTATTTTTTCTTGGCTAATTGTTAGACACTACATTTTTAACTGAGCGACTATCAGCTGCTCAAGAATGGCTGTACTCTGCGTGGTTAGCCATAAGGTCAACAAACCTAATCCACACGCAAACAACTTAATAATACAGTGTCAACATATTTAAGCTATTTAGTATCCATGTACCCGATTTAATTACCAAGAAATTTGCAGCAAAAATTTGTATCCTGTACATTTGCCAGATTCAACACAATCCTACGTAACGTAAATTGAACTTAAGATGCCGTGCACTCTTATCGAATTTGGAATATCGGTAAAATACTAAAGTTAATTTAAATGGCAGCAAAAATATGACGAGTGCATTTTTCTGGGTTTTATAGTCGTGTAGTTCGAAGACGGCCCGACGTTTTAAGAACACATCGCCTCCAACTATCTTCGAGGCCTTAAAGTCAAGAAACCAGCAGTAAGCGACCATGAAAGTGTCGCGATATTGCTCCTCCAAAACGTCGGGCTCTCCCAATTATACGGTGTTAAAATCCATGAGACTTTCTACCCTAAACCTCTAATCCAACAAAATTATTACGTTTCCGTCATGTTCGATATGGGCCTGTATAACTTTAAGTCTTTTTGATACAAAATGGGACTATCTCGGTACTCTAATACTACCCTCTTTGCTTAACAGCACATAATAATGACAAGAACAAAGCTACGAATAAGAATTACAATCATATCCAAGCTTACTAAACGTTCGCTGCAAAATCATACCTGACAAAGGATCGTTCGGCACTTCACCAGCACTAAAACCTCTTTCTTCATAAGTGTAGCGCACGCTAGCACAGTTTATGCCAGTCGCAGAAACATCTTGTGTCCATAACGTTATTGCTAATAAAGCTATTGTCCACACTAAAACACACGTATATTCCTTACGGTGCCGCCTCTCCAGCCGCAAAGACTGTTCCAACATTTTGCATATGCAACCATTCACAGCCATGCTGCCTGCCAGGGAAATATCAGTCGTAGCAGCCTCGTCTAAAAAGTATCGACGTTCACGCTTCACTTACAAATAAAGGTCAGTTGGAACTGAAATAAATCCAGCTATCTTTTTTGTGCATTTGTACTACATTATCCGGTAATTAAATACCGGATGAAAGCCATACAACAAAACTATTAACCGACCACATTCACACAAACACTACCCGCTGTGCATCTGTTAGGACTGGTTTGGACGTCTGCTTCAACGCCCGAACCATTTGCGCACGCGCATTTGTATTCGCCGCGCACCTATCATTACGCACGGATAACAACGGTTGCTGAGCGATGTTTGTTGCAAAGTTAAGCTATGAAGACCATGAAGATGCTATGAGAGATTTCAGAACGTGATTTAATTCAGTTGACTAACGATAATCAATAACATGCTGTACAACATAATAAAATGTCTTTCCCTTATCTATGTGTTTGACTTTACGTGAATGAAGTTATCTTAAGCAAATATAAAGGATATATTTATCTATTTGCCTTTCCAAGTTTTCGCGACAGGTTTTTTAATTGATTTGACGTAATAGTTTATCTATCGTCTTCTTAATTAGATACGTGTCACCAACGTAATGTGCATTTCGCAATACTGAAATATTTCTCATTCCAGTATCGTGTTAATACACTGTGACTGAAGGATTCTGGGTGATACAAATTCATTATGGCAAATTATAGTAAGGTTGACCATGTCATATTTGACCTGGACGGCCTTCTACTTGGTAAATAATAAATTAGTCCAGTACTCATTCATCTTTTACAAGTAATCTGCATTGGACTTTTTTGTTCTTTTTATGACAGGGACAGTCGATTATATTATCAAAAATTAAAGTGTCTCAGAATACGAGTATGAAATCAGTTTCGCTCAAAACTACTTTCATATTAGGTTTAAAATCTTCAAATTCTGTCGCAAAAATAAAAATGGGTGGTCTGCATGTAACTTTGGAATGGTTGAAAGGTTCTAGAAGCTATTCTAAATTTATAATAAATGTACCATGTGGTCCATACAATTTCCAAGCAAATTTTCAAAAATGCAGTACAACTTCTTCAAGTAGATGAGAAGTACTTTTCTCGTAAATATCAGTAACTCTCCCGCTTCATCCCTTCCATTAAGATTCACCTCACAAGTGCTGTCTCTGCATGATTGTGATTTAAAAATGTAAGTACATTTAAAATAGCAGCAGTTAATTTGAAAACCTTAAATGAAACATCTTCACTATGGCTCTTAATTTAACGGTTCAGAACACTGTGATAACTATAGGTACCATCTGTTCTTAACATAAAAACCTCACATTTTGCCCAGAGAGCATATTTATGCATTTTGTATGATTCTCACAGTAATCATCAATTACTTCCTTAAACAGCCTTAACCAGCTGGTCTTTGTAATGGAGATGACCTGTTTCCACAAAGTATAGACTGAAATTTTAAATATTACTTACATAAATTTCACACTTCAGAAGGTTAACTAGTATGTAATGTTTCAGATACTGAAACTTTCTACTTGCATACAGCCACTGAACTGTGTAAATCCTTCGGCAGAACATTCACAATGGAACTGAGAGAAAAAATAATGGGACTTCCTGGTCCTGAATATTCAAGAGCTATTGTTGAAATGTTAAATTTACCAGTGTTGCCAGAAGAATATTATGCACATTCAAGACACGAGATCAAGAATCTATTTCCATCTGCAAAACTGATGCCAGGTATTAAAATGTAATCAGTTTTAACACATTTTTAATGTTACTTTTTTCTGACAGGGACAGAAGAAATTTACGTGGAGATGTTTTCAATTATTTGTGGTAAATATGGTAAGAGCTATACATTTGATGTAAGAGAGAAAGTACTGGGAACAGTGGAATCGGATTCATGTGCAATTTTAGTTAAGGAAGTCAACCTCCCAATGAGTCCTCAAGAACTTTTGAGTCAGCAACGCCTGCTGCAAAGAGAAATGCTTCCAAAGACCAAGTTAATGCCAGGTAAAACAACCTTCTTCCTTGCTCCTTTGTCATTCCCAAAATATGTTTATCTTACAAAAAGTGTTGGAGAATAAGTAACATCTGGGGGTATATTACACTCCTCTCTATTACTTGAACATAATGTCCAACAGTGTGGAGGAATTTCCAGAATGAATGACCGTGAAAATGTCCCAGCTGTACACATCCTATTAATTCCCAAAAGTAAGAGCCATTTTCTTCATCTGGATTGCTTCCTTCTGGTGCCACAATGTTGTCTGAGACCTATGTGCATTCACTATTGCCTCATGGTCCAGGAACTGAAGCAGAATACTACATGTGCTAAAATGCCATCAGCATCCCCAGAGACTGCGTAGAACACCTTTCCCATGCACTATTCAGCTGAAACCTTGCGCCTGCTGATTTCAACTTCTTTTGACCACTAAGGAGCAGTTCACAGGCAAACATTTTGAATACAAAAACCAAGGCATGGTGGAAGGTGCTCAATATATGCTGTTCTTTTTCAGGGAATCAACATGTGGTGTATTGCTGGGACAAGTGTCTCAGCTGCTTTGGCAATTAAGTACACAAACAGTGGGTCTGTTATACTGTGCTGTTCTGAAAATCTGCATTGAAGCAATAAGTATGAGTGCAATGCATTCTTGGATGTTACTTATTGAACAGTGTATATGTAAGCTGCTGCTGAGCAGTCGTAGGAGAGAGTCACTGTGCACAACCTGGAAACACTATGACACTGGTTCTTTGTCCTTCAATCCTGTGTACAAATGCACAACATATACAAAGAGCTTGTATCTGAAGGAACACAGGAAATGAGGTCTGGAATCTACTAATAGAAAACATGGGAATCGAACCTCCTAATTCATTCCTGAAATTAAGCTGTTTTAACAATTTTTATTTGAATAGTATGTGTCATACAGGGGTAATCATGAGCACAACTGACATACCAGCTGGTAACTTTTGTATTGTACACGACTCTTCTGGAGCACATTAAATCAGAAGGCCTTACAATGACAAAATGCAGAATTATTGAATTCCCAGCCAGAGTAATATGGATTTAATCCCTCAAGAAGTGTTCACTGTAAGTTTAAAAGTTTTCTAACAGTGGTCCTTGGCCACTGTCTCAGTCCTTTAGAATCACCGTTTCAGAAACTGTTTTCTTTCCATCATCAGGTGAACAAGTGATGATCAAAACTGCCAATTTCAAAAATTTTGCTGGGTTCACAAATGTTCTTACCCAGAAAATATAAAAAGCATTTTATATATTTTATGTGCCAGCAGTGTTACGCACACTCAAAAAATCAATTTCAGGTCAGCAGCTATACAAAATGCAATACGAACAAAGTCTGGGTCAAAAAATACATTGTGAACACCAGAACAGGACAAGGCAGCATAATCCTTTTACAATTTGTCAGTGTAAATCAATGAGAAGAAAAGGTATTCCCTCATATTGTAAGTTACAGAAATAAATTTTGGAGTACTTACTACAGACATGGCTACCTCCATGAGCACTGTTCTTACCAGATAAAACCTCTGTATATTTCATTAGTTCCCAGCTGACTGACTGGCAGAAACTTGAATTATGCAAGACTTTCAAAAATGCTTCAAACATGAAAGGTATTTAAATAATTTCTTTGTAGAATTTTTGTTCAGAAGATCCTTCCCCCCAAATTAAGTCATTATGCAGTATATTGGACAAGTAGTGAAGTAGATTATTTAGAAATTAATCCTTCATGGGGCCCTAATAAAGACATAATGATTTCATTATCAGGGAGCCAATTTAATGAATCCAAATGAGTTATCATGACCCCAGTACAGGCACTGTATTCATGGTGCTGAATCTTAGAAAGGAGATACACAATAAATCAAAGATGGCCACAGCGCTATGAGTGTTTAATTCTCTACTCCTTTAATCTAGCATAATATAACATCAAATACTAAATATTACTGCATTCACTGACATCTTTTCTTTTTTTCTTTTGCCTGCTAATGTCAAGATATGATAGCGTATAGTGTACATTGCAATGCTACTGTAACATTTCATTTCAGGAGCAGAACGCTTAGTGCGTCACTTGCATCAACATGGCATTCCAATTGCAGTTGCTACAAGCAGCTCTGAGGAAAGTGTTAACCTGAAGCTAACAAATCACAAAGAACTGTTTTCTTTATTTCATCATATTGTAATGGCGAGTAGTGATCCAGAAGTGAAGAAGGGAAAACCAAGCCCTGAAATCTTTCAAATATGTGCTTCAAGATTCCCAGATAAACCAAAACCAGACAAGGTACATACAATGAATCCTCAGGTCACCATGATGTACAGATCTGGTGGCCCCAGTATGATCCTTCTACATGTAGGGCATGATTATCCCAGTGAATATGCACACCAAGTGTTACTGCCCCGGAGCGAGTGCTCCTGTCAGCACAATAACAATCTTGATCACTTCTGCTACAGAGTAAAAAAGGGTGGGCAGCTTTTTCTTTTGAGAGTTATTTTGTGAATTTGTCAGTGTCTAGACCATGCAGTGTCAAACAGCAGGATGATGAAACAAGTGATGATGGCTTAGTCAAGGCATTGTCCCAGAATTTGCCTGGAGAGTCCGAAGAGAGCAACAGAAAAAAATTGGTCAATATAACAGGTGTCCTGGCTGAGATCTCGACCAAGCACCTGCTTAATTAATATGAGTCGAGAGCGTTTGTTACCACTATGCCAGTTCATACAGCTGGACTGGTTCTGTGGCAGACAGTTTACTGTACATATTTCCCACACAATGCATATTCAGACTGTTATCATAATTATTGCTGGAATCATTTAAAATCTGATACTGTACCCTAATCCTTGATGGTTTCATTTCAGTGCCTAGTGTTTGAAGATGCACCAAATGGTGTTAAAGCTGCTCTAGCTGCAGGAATGCAAGTTGTAATGGTGCCAGATGAACATATTTCTGAAGAAAACAAACAGCTGGCAACATTAGTCCTCCATTCACTGGAGGACTTCAAACCTGAATTATTTGGGTTACCACAATATTAATAAAAACACTGTTTTGCAAATGTTATTGTTGTGTTCATAGTCTGAGGAAGTTTTAGCATACAAAATTATTTTGTTATGGGATGAATAAATATTATTAAATATATAAACTCAAATCACTACCACCAACAAATTAAAAGATAGTATGTTACCCAAAAAACTTGCCTTGAAAATATGTTCTGGCTGTTTATATTGTGCAAGATTTTACCAAATAAAAACATGATTAAAGATAAACAATCCAGTACTAACGATGACAGAAAATATTCACATTCTCATATCCATGGTCTCAAATGTTTGACATTTACATATAAATTAAATACATATCTACAAACAAAATACAATATACATCAACTGTTTCTAAAACAAAATTAGTTCTAATAAGATTTTGAGAGTCTTTCCACTTGCTTCAAAACCTCTTCAGCTTTTAAGTTTGCCAGAGAAACGCTGCTTTCCTTTCCAAACTCTGAAATAAAAAGGAAGCCAGTGAAAACTGATATGGAGTATCACTGGGTGACCCAGGTTACTTTAAAATTTACCACCACAGTGCTTGCCACATTAGCACTGCCAGTATAAGTTTATTTGTAAAAACAAGACCCAAAGCATAACATTAAAATTTGCCTCCAAAATAATGCCTACAAACGTTCTAATATGAGGACTCCTTCACCAGCGACAACACAAAGTATTTCTAAAGGTGACTGTACTAACATGGTGGGCAACATGGCAGTAAATTTTAGTTACTTGGGTAACGGACTTATATATATATATAAATACCTTGATGTGTAAAGGTAAGATAAAATTGTCCATGATACTTAACTAATTAAGTATCATGCCATGAAGACATATGGGATAATGGAGGTATAGCTCCCCCATTCTTAACCTTGGTGCTATATGGAGGTCATGTAACAGGAAACAATGAACCACAGCCAGAGAAGTTAGCAGCACAATTGGTAAATCATATGAATTAACATCTTTAAATCCCCCCCCCCCATTATCTTACACTTGGTTCCCACATGTTTAAGCATTCATCTGGCTACAAACTTTTCCACAAAACATCTCATCCTTACCATATCTGGCATAAAGTCGAGGCTGAATCCCACTGCATTCTCTTATCAAGATGGGAAACTTGGGGTTGGAAGTTTTCAAGCTAACGTACTGTGACTCAATGAAGTCCCTGAAATAAACCAATTAGCACTATTAGATCACTTTCAAGGATTCCATTACTTTGATGCTGCAAGACTAACATAATTATTAAATTATGCTAAACAGATGTGTAGAATAAATACAAACTTAATCAGCTTTCCATACAACTTTACAATGCAGTTCCAACTTGGGACATCTGGTAGCGTAGTTGGTTGAGGCATTATGCTACGAGCTGGAAGGCTGCAGGTTCTATTCTCAATGAGGTCACTGGATTTTTCAATTGTTCTAAAATCCTTCCAGCCACACTATGGCCTTGGGGTCGACTCAGCCTCTAACAGAAATGAGTACCAAGAATCTTCCTGGGGGTAAAAGGTGGCCAACACATAAGGCTAACAACCTTACCACCACCTACAAGCTGACTGTCTAGAAAATGTGGGAGCCTCAATGTCTTGCAACCCTAGGGGGCCTCCACGGCCTGTTCCGGGGAAAACACACCACCCTATTACCTTTCGTTATTCAAATTTTATATGCTATATACACACCTTTTATGTATACATGTTATATAATTTTATGAGTTACATATACTATAACATGTTCTTTGAAAAACTTCTAATTATATGACCAAAATGGATACATTTCGATTACTTATTTATTTATTCATTTCATCTCTATAGATCACTGTTACATGATATAGGACAAGTCATTTACTGTACATTGGCTGATTACAATAAGAGAATAAAGTTACAATACTCAAAATTGTTTACAATAGATTACAGAAGATTACAATAGTTAAGATTTCATAGAGTGTAAGGTAGAATCTATATTAGGTCCCCTCGGCACGTTGGCTTCCATATGTCCTATTGTACCTGTACTGGTGATAATGCTTATGGAGAATTTGATGGAATGAGGATTGGCAGGGGAAACCGAAGTACTCGGGGAAACCTGCCCCGTCGCCACTTTGTCCAACACAAATCCCACTTGACTAGACCACAGCGGTTGGAAGCCAGCGACTAACCGCTTAAGCTATGACACAGCATTTGAGATAATATTGGTGCATTTGGTGATAGCACTGGTATAATATAATTATGATTATACATGTATACACCTCATGATGGTCAACCACAACCTGTACTGTCCAATATATTGAACTTGCTGATCCACTGATATATTCAATTCAAGCACATATTATATACAACAAAATCGTGTGTTGTGCAACGACATAAAAACCCTAAATAAATTATATCAATTATAAGAATACTCTGAGTACTACTAACACTTAGTACAAACTTATTTGGTAAGCAATTATGACTTCAGGTCGATTATGATTTGATTTACCTATGCACACTTAAATTCACGGCATTATGAAAATTACATATCAGGAAATAATTATTCTGGTGAAGACACAGCTGCACATACAGTTCTTTTCACCCCTTTGAGGAAGAACTAAATTTGAGGTAAACATTTCTCAATTACATAACCTTATCACTAATATAATTTTCTTCATGGCTTGCAACAAACGCGAAACAAAAAGTAGATATAATTGTATACTTTCGCATGGGTGAGACCCATTCGTGCTGTCAAATTTCTAGCCTAAAATTATACCTGGTTTCAATATATTTCAACTACATGACAAAAAGATCTAATATTCCTGTCAATTAAAAACACAAAGCTAATTACACACTATATCTACGATACAATATTAGTACACTGTCATTGTCTCTTAATACCTTACTCCCTTACTGGCAGCAGAGGTCTGGCATAAATGCAACCTTAATTCTTTAAGGTCCTTTGCAAACTTCAGTGCCGTCCTCGTCGCCATATTTTTATTACCATCAGACGACTTGCCGTTGGTTATGGTTCACGTGGTAAATTTTTATTCCGTATGTTATCCGATTTCTTCTACACAACGTGTCTCGAGTGGTGTGTGGTAATCCATGCTGTTCGTTATCTGTGGATTAGGTAGACACGTAATTTTCTCGACTTTCGTTGTCTTGTCATATGGAAGACATGAAGCTTTGCGTTATGCGTATTAGTACTTTCGTATGGTTGAGAGCGCAACTGACGTGTCGAGCAAAGGTACCTAAGAACTGATAGGAAAGAGGCCATAGCATACAAAGTGCTCACGAAAAAATCATGATTCACATAATCACGATGTAGTTATATCATGAACGGTGGATGTTGGTTAGGTCTAGTATTAAATTACTGCAATTCTACATGCCTCAAGATCCTCAAGATTCCGACAGTGGTGAAATAATGTCACTAAGGGAATGGAGACAAGCCATTCGAACACCTACGACCTATCGTGTAGGGAACAGAACTTTACGAATTCAAACACAGTTTGTTAGCTTGGTTGCCTTTATAGGTTTGGTAGTGCTTTTAGTGATGTATACATATGCTGTAGATCATTCTACTGTCAGTGTAGAATCTCTCAAAAATAAGTCTTCAGTTAAACCATACATGCCAGTTCCGACTACTTCCAGTCATGATAATTATAACAGTACATATCCACTGACAACACCAAAGAGAACACCTAAAGGAATCCTCTTTCGAATAGGAGTGGTTAGTGATTTGGACAAAGGATCCAGAAGCAAAATCGAAGAGTTTACATGGCTAAGTTATTACAAAAAGGGATCCCTATTATGGAATCCTGTTTCAAAAAGCATTAAGGTATCGTGGGATGCAGGTGACACGACTGTGTTGAGATCAAGTATTGGAGAGTCAGGTCGAGGAATGGAGCTCTCAGAACTTGTAGTATTTAATGGAAAGCTGTATGTTGTTGATGATAGAACAGGGATCATTTATGAATTACTGGATGACGAAGTGATACCATTTGTTATGCTTAATGATGGGGATGGGCGAATGAATAAAGGTTAGTTCATTACTGTGTACCATAGTTTTATATAGCTTGCATATTCTTTATATTTTATTATACTGCTGAATGTTTTACACCTTCCTGTCAGCTCTTATACAGCAGTGACTTGACACTCCTCGTTAGATTGCCAGTGAGTTACATCTGCCATAGAAAGTCTCTCTCACAGCAGTACAACTCTTGAGTTTTGCATCTTTTCTATGATCATTCCAAAACATGGAAGTTAAGTGACATATGTTAAAAATTAATGTAGCAACTTTTCATTCACATACTATACTTCAATCCATAATGCAACCCGTTCACTATCTCCCTCTCTTTCCACCACACGTTTTGGCTGTATACGGCTATCATCGGGTGTCACTACTTACCAAAACTGTTTTGTATATGCACTGAAACAGTTGGTAAGTAGTGATATCTGGTGATGGCCGTATACAGCCGAAACGTGTGGTGGAAAGAGAGGGAGATAGTGAACGGGTTGCATTGTGGATGGAAGTATAGTGTGTGAATGAAGAGTATATTAATGCAGTGCTGAAATACAATACTATGATTAGTGTAGCAATTTTGCTATCTGATATAAGATTTAAACTAAAATGATGCAGCTTTTAATCTAATTTTGAGTGTAAGAGAAACACAGAGTAAAATTTAGCATTAATTTCTTAACAATTCAATTTACCCTTCTCCAAAATGAAAGTAAGTACAATTAACTGCGGTTTAGCTAGAATCAAGCACGTGCATTACAGGTTTCAAATCGGAATGGGCTGCCGTAAAAGACAGGAAATTATTTGTTGGAGGTCTAGGGAAGGAATGGACAACCAACACTGGAGAAGCAGTAAACACACATCCACAGTGGGTCAAGACCGTTAGTCCAACCGGGGAAGTGGAACATCATAACTGGTATCACAAATATCTTTCAGTCAGAAGAATGCTTGGGATTGAATTTCCTGGTATGTCTACTTCACCTGATAAAAAGAAACCTGTCGTGTGATAGCAGTAACAGAACGTACGCACACACGTGTACTGCCATTAGAACACATTTAGCAATTAAAATGCACGAGAAATGGCAGTACAAACTATGGAAATGTTGAAGAAAGCAGTCTTCTGGGCTTACATATGGAAATGTTATCTTGAAATAAAACATTTAATAAATAAGATTTCCAGCTGTTTCAGTCTAACTAGAACAAGCAGAAGTATCTGTTCTTCACCCATGATCTGGTTACTTTCCTTCGATATCACTTTAAGGAAAGAATATCAAATTAAAAGTCTATTCATGTAATTGGAAGAGAAAGACTGTGCACATTAAAATTGCACCCAAAAAGTCTACTCAGTACTTTCCTATTACTTTTTAACAGACATGGCAACCACACATACTAGCAAAGTACAGAATAAACTTAATATCTCTGGATATTCCATATTAAGCCCCTAGATAACCTTAGCTATGGAATAGGCGGCCGAGGATTTGGAGTTTAAATCCAAGTAGGGTCAAGATTTTTCTCTTCTCCATGTCACACTCAGCCTCCTGTCCAATGGGCACTGTGGGTCTGTTTCCCCAAGGATAAAGTGGCCAGGGCATAAAGCTGACCACTCACCTCTAACTAGTGCTGAGGTCAAGAATACATGGATCTATACATCCACTCCCTCGTACATCTTCATGGCATAATACTTAATTACTTAAGGACAGGGCCAATTTTATTTTTACTAAAATATCATAAGTATGCATACCTAAGACACCTGACAAGGATGTCACTTGACTGTATAATGCACTACAACAACTGTTCTGAATATTTACATATTAGAAAGCATCAGAAACAAAATACATAACTGTGGATCAATATGTCCACTTTCCAATACTTTGAACCACATACAGATACGATATTTTCGAAGCGTAACCTTGCACATATAGTAACACATCCTGCTGGGGACAGCTTCCACCATAAGGTGTGCTGCTAGAAAGGCTCTAATCTCCGGAGTGAAAGCTACCACTGTAAGCTCCATAGTTTTGAATGTGGAAAGTGCCATATCATGCAGTGCAAATGCACGACTTGATAAGTGGCCATATATACAGAGGAAAACTAATGTGTGCTCTGCAAAATTCAATACTTTATTATTAAAAAAAATACATTCTTGAAGATTACTGTTTTCTGGGATGCTTTTGAGAATTTTATATACCATATAAAATACATCTCCCAAGTCTTGTTTACTCCTTTTAAAGGTTACATCACACATGAGGCAGTGGTATGGAGTGATGTCCACAAATGTTGGTTTTTCCTTCCACGACGATGTTCAAAAGACAGTTACAATGACGTGCTTGATGAAACCAGAGGTTGCAATATAATGATCACAGCAGATGATACATTCACAGATATTAAGGTACATCATTTCCTTCACAATTCTTAAGTACTCAAGAAAAGATACAGGAAAAGCAACACGAGTCTCCTTGTCACAGCTTTTTGGTGTAAATGTTGGAAAGCACACTACTCGTGTCCAATTGCCATTCAGCTATTAGCTTCACCAAGTGATCACATGTAACACTTGAGAACTGCCACATGGATCTGAATGTGTCTATTTGCACACATTTCAAATATAAGTGATTACATATTTTTTCAGAGCAAAAAAATTTCAAATAAAAATTGTAAAGATAATTGAAATGGACATTTTTCTAAGTATTATTTTTTGGACATTATCCACCGTCCTGTTTATTTTTCAAAACACAGTGTTGAGGAGACTGGATTCTGTCCCCATCCTTGGGCAAAACTTAACTCAGTTGGGTCCAATAGATAGATCTAGTCCCTATCTCTGGACATTTTTATGTTCAATACACTTAGTGTGCATAAATAGCACAGGTTTCAAGATAATTAAAAGTGGGCAGACATGCCAGTGCATGCAGAAACATTTCAGCAGTTTTGTACATATTCATGTGGCATATCATATCATAGTGTACTTTCTAATATTAACTTTCTTACCTGTATACTCGTGTAATTATGTTACAGGTTCTTCATGTTGGAAATTTAATTCCTACACATGGATTTTCTAGTTTCAAATTCATCCCTGGAAGCTCAGATCAAGTGATTGTTGCTCTGAGATCTGAAGAAAACAAGGGCGCCACTGCAACATACATCATGGGCTTTGATATTATGGGCAAAATTTTGCTACCTGAAACAAAAATAGCAGATGAAAAATATGAAGGATTTGAATTTATATGAAACGAAACTAATAAATTTTTAAATATCAATTAATTAATTTTGTACATAAAAATATTTCATACATCTGATGTACAGAGGGAGATCACATCATTCTTACTCTGATAAGAACAGCTGACTGTATGATGTCATGGTAATTTTTTTTACAAAGATTTATTTTACCATTATTTGGTAAGCGGTATGTGGTGTGTAAAATGTGGCCTCATTATTGTTACCTCCTTCCCACACAAGTTTCAAAATGTCTACAAAATATTTAGCAATTTTAATTATATTTCAGACATACTAAGCTCATTTATTTTTGATGTCCCCGAAAATCAGTTATAATTGGTCGATTTCTTTGTACATACAAGAAGAGCAGCAGCATAGTTTTAGAGGCATTGTTCCAATCCACGGCTATCACAAGCAGAACATTCAAAATAGTATGTGGGGTATTAATCTTCACTCATACAAAAACTTTGCAAGCATTTGTGTGTATCCAATAAAGGAAATATACATTGGACATAAGGTTCTCATGACAGTAACTATGATGAATTCTGTCTTCAGGGTTGTAAGACCATTCGGTTCAAACACAGCCCCATATTTTAGAGGAACATATTGTCTCCATCATCAAGGTCAAAGAGTAAGCCGAGCAAGCTTAGCTTGTTTCCCTCTCTTGTATGGTTTGCTCTTCAACATGGAAGTTGGAGGCAGTGTGTTCCACCAAAATATCGGGGTTCTGTGCAACTATGTGGAGTTACAACCTGGAAAACGGTACATTCTCATCAGTAAATGTTTCCATCCTGAGCACAAATAATTCACATTTTGTGATTAGAAGCTCTCGTACTGTCTCACTACCTCGAAACTATGTACAGCATGTTGCATTAATGTATGGGAATTTAATTTTGTCAAGTTCACATTCCTCCAGTTACAGTTATAAGCAAAATGACTAAATAACTGGCTGAAATGTCTGACGTGGTTCATTAAATTCCAGGTAACATTTTCTTTTACATGTCTGCCTAAATTATTGAAACATGGTCCTAAAATGTCCCCCACCCCCAAAACATTACTTAACCTCACGAACAAATTTTGTTCTGAAGAAATCCATCTTCTAGGATGTGGCGCCGTGTAGATATTGTGTTAACCGACATTGGTTCCTCACTCGCGGATTTTCTTTTTTCCTCTACCCTGAAGATGGAGGCGATACATTCCTCCAAAACGCTGGTTAACACAATATCTACACTGTGCCACGTCCCAGAAGATGGCTTTCTCATAGTCACCGCCTTGAAAACCTCAAATCTTACAAATCATGTTCAACTTGTAACATAAGTATGTATACAGAAAACACTAAGTTTGCATGTTCTGTAGTAATTTCAATATGTTGCTGAAGGCAGGCTGAAAATCATATCAGGCCAAATGAGGTCTGTGGGCTGGTTTGAAAATACTGTCAGGCTAGATCAGGCCCACATGCCAGCTTCTGCCCATCCCCCCTCCTACATGCTGAAGTTATATTTCTGTGTGCAGTACATTGGTGCCAGCAGTCTGTGGCCACACAGCTGCAGCAAAGGAAAACTTTCAGTAGACTGAAACCGCATATGACAAATATTTGCAACCTCAAGCTTGAACTTCCTTAGTTTGTCTGAAATAAATATAGACACTCTTATATATTTTATCACTGTTTTACAGTATTATCTATTGTTAAAATGTATTTTTGGTTAAAAATATTTATTTGTACATAATTAAAATTACTTACAGTGACTATTTTGTACATATCAGTGAAACTTATTTAAGTTTTAATAGTGACTAAAAATGATAAAGTGTTGTCACAGCAACAGCCACGCCAATTAAGAGCAGAAGTTCAACATTCTGGAGACCTTCCTGAATTTCACGGAAATCGTGTACAGATACTTCTGAATTTATGTGACAGCTGTGCCAGATAAAGGTCGCAGAGGGTGAAACCAAATAGGTAGGCCAGATTTTCCCTTCACATTTATCTCCCACTCTCCTCTCTCTCTTGATCAGCCAGCAAGCAGTTCACATGGACCGCGCCATAGCTCAAGCGGTCAGTCACCAGCTTCCCACCGCGGCGGCCTGGGTCTGGTGAAGTGGGATTTGTGGTGGACTAAGCAGCGCTGGGGCAGGTTTTCTCCAAGTACTTCGGTTTCCCCTGCCAATCTTCATTCCACCAACTGCTCCACAATCACCCTCACCTATCATTTGGGGCTGGTACAATAGCCAGAAGTGGCCGCAGTACAAGGGACTTAGTCCCACCCCACTAGCAATAAAAAAAAAGCAGTTCACATTAAAGCATGTGCTACCGATTGAAATCAGTCTAAATTAGTTAAATGCTTTAAAATTAAATCAGATTTCTTTTTAACTCTTAACACTTGTTCATTATGTGAAGAGTCTGATTCAAATTCATGTGGCTGGTCGCTGAAGAAGATTTTATCATAAAAAAATCATGACCTCTGTTCTCATTTGTATGCATTTATGTGATGCCTTGTTTAAATTATTATGTTTGATGTTATTAAATAATCTGATTACTCAGGGTGAGTACTTGAATTTTGATCCTCTTTCCATAACTGGCGGATCTATTACCCACTACAGTGCAAGCAACTGATCTCGCCCTCATGTGACAACACCTGACAGCTGTAGTGCTATTCCTCCTGACCTTCCTGTCACCCCCAACCAATTTTAAGTGACAATATCAGCTCAAGTGAAATCACTGTCCCTTTCGAGTATTTCATGCACAGTAGAGCCTCAAAAATGACAGCAGGGTGCATACAGTGAACATTTAATTGAATTTTGATATTCTGTTTCTCTTCTTGGCCAAAGAAGTTTAGTTGTGGGCACTGCGTTCTTATGAAGCATCGCTCCTTTTGCAAATGAGAATCATAACATTTATAGGAATGAGGTAATTTTACCCAATCAGATTTGTAAATTAAAAATTTGTGCTGTCTCAAAAGAGATGGCAGCATCATAAGGTTTGCACTTGTCCCCTTGAAGCATGACTTAGGGCCCTGAACTGACACTTGTACCACACGAAGCTGGGCATGTGGAAATGGAAAGTTATAGCTCAAGAGAAAAAACACTGGCATATTATACATTAACCCATCACATGTTACATCTGCTGGTCTTATGGCATTTTTAATAGCTAATCTAGCATCAAGCAACTGAGGTGAGTGTACTTCCTTGACTATACAATTGTATAGTTCCAGCATCTGACAGCTACCAAAAAATCGTTTGGCCACTCAGAGGGCCTTCATGTGAACTCAGGTCACATAGACTTGGATACATATTGGACTCAGCAATTGATAAATGGCCTTCTCTTCAATATCGCCCCATAAATCAACTACTGCAAAGCAACCCAATGAGTTGTAGGGCTCCTGTTTGTTTTATGAGTTTGTAGCATTTTGTGCTGATGTTTTTGCAACCCCCAGTCTCCTGTGCAAGCCTTATGGAGAAGTTCTGAGAATGTGCATGCCTAGCATTGATTTCATCCAATTCCATCTATTTCAAAGTTGTCAAACATAACCTAAGAATTTCGTTCCATGCAAAATGATACATTTATAGCTGGACTTATTACTAACTGCTACAAACCCGGGCTGGAATACAGGTTTCGTGTTACCACCGGGTCATAATTTTACATCTCCTATTAATGACACTCATAAATTACGCGCGCACACGGCACGAGAGTGCGGTGTCAGCCACACAAGATTTAGTGAAGACAATCCATGATTATAATATCTGGGTGCAAAAGGATATGATTCCACAACTAATATGAAAATCCGGGTTAAAACAGCGTATTCAATTTTTATTTGTCGTGCTTCTGCCGAACCAACGTCACACCTACTTCACGCTCACATGTCAGTCGCATATAAAGCACATAACAAAACTCAACGCAGTGTTTCTCAACCTTCTCAACCTTGACAGTCAGCTGATTGGGTCTTGAGACCTCGAAAGCAACTTCCATTATTAGACCTAATAATTAAGTGACCTATAACACTACAATCAATGCAGGTAGACACAATTGCAAAACACACACACACATATATATATATATGGTGCAAAAAGGAGAACTTTCATTTTCACTACGGTGGGACTACTAATTCTTTTTTCGACAAATGACCGTCTCGTTGTACTCAGTCACTAACGCAACTAAACTAATATATTTTGTTTTATCCATCCTCCCAGTGCCTGCAGTTTGGGCCCAAAATATTTTTCCGATCGAAAAATGCGTGAAAACTGAACGAAATGGGGGACGCAACAAACATAAATTGGGTAATTCAACGAATATTCATGATGCAACTGAAATGGTACAAGTTTAAATAATAGCCGTCTATTTAGCGTGATGACAAATATACGGTTAAGTACACCATCTTCTAACAAGCTTGGTTACGAAAAATTTCTATGTGCTACACGCGTAATAAATTGTATTTCTCACAGTTAGGCTGCCTACGCGGTTTTCGTCACGGTGACACTTTAAAACTTTAAATTAAGCACTAGAATTAAAAATAACAGTGGACACAAGATGATTTTTAACAATGGAAATATTAGCTTGTTATGCATTACATTTTATTTATTACTTCAGAGGAAAGGTTTAGAGAATACATGCGGATTTATATTTACTATTATTATTGTTTCCGTGAGAGAGGTAGTAAAAGGCAATATCAATTTTTGAAAACCGTCAACTGAAGAGAACTGATTTTCGTGTGCACATCCGCTGTTTGGTGGCCGATTCCTGTTCTAAGCGGAGAGAAACGAATGGGGTTGGAAGAGGAAAGGGATTGTGGAGCCACTCAGGAGTCTCTGAAGAGCAGCTTACTAAAATCAATAAATTTCAGAGAACCCTTAATGTGAACATGTTAATTGTTCGGCGGGGAATGACAAATTACTTCCGAGGGGTGAGTACCATGACTACTGACGCTACCAGGGCCTCATTTTCTCGGTTCTGAATATGGCTGCAGTGAATGAATGGGATAGGGTGGGAAGTGTGAATGCGAGACGATGCACCAAAGCACATGAAGGTCATAAAAAATCTAGGGCGTTGCGAATTAACTCATTCATATGTTGGGTTACCGATGAACGTAAAAGATACGTTCATTGCATTATTGCAGGCCTACAAATCCACAGAATTCTGCACTGTCTCACGGAATGTAAGATGAGAAGCTATGTTTTATAATTTATAAAATTAAATTACTTGTACTAATACCCTGTTACATTTTTAAACAGAAAATGATTTACATAAAATGAAATTCTGCATGTATATCTAAGTACTGTGAGCATCACCAACACAATGCAGAACGGCAATGCAGATTATGACTGGCATCTGGCAAGAAAAGGCATTCAGCTTCTCCTGAACAATAAAATAAGTGAAGCTGAACAACTATTTGGAGAAAAGAAAGATAATGTTCAAATGGCAGCTGGTTACTGCTTTGTAACATTCATGGTAAGTAGACTGTTAACATATTAATATAAGCCTGTACGCATTCTTTGCAATTCTGCATGCATCATTGGAACTGATGTACAGTTACAGTGAATACAACAGATTTTAATGACAGCACAACTGAGTAAGTTTGTGTAGTGCTAATTTCCAGACATGTATTCAGGAAATAAGTTTGGATCTCAGGTGGGAGCCAGTTATCCTGATAAGACTGATCATAGTTTTCCTCACTCTCTCCAGAAGAATGTTTGGATAATTAAAGCTGTTAGGGAACTTATCTCTGTATTTGATTTTAAGTTCTCTTACTGGTGATTATGAAGACTGTGATCTTCTGGGTTTCTGGTGACATGGTTCTCCAGCAGTTCTGCCCATGAACACAGACCTTTTCAGGGAACTGTACTCCTGGTCTTTCTTGGATCTTTCTGCAACAGTCGACTTCTTCACCCTCCTTGGTCTTTTCCACTGCCTGCTGCTCTTCCCTTGACACACGTGTGTACGGCTTCTCCCCACTTCTGTTTCCATTTGGTCTGCCACTAGCCCTTCTCAGGGCACACTGCAGACACTGCTTCCTTTGCTTCCACCGGCTTGCTCAGTTCCTTTCTGGCTTGGACTGGTCTATACCAGGCTGCACTTTCACTCAGCTTGCTACCTCCTTCTGCTAGTTTCTCACTTGGCTTACACTTCAAACCTGAGGATGGAGGTAATATGTTCCTCCAAAACGTCAGCATTATAACCCAGAAGACCTACTCTTTAAAACGGTCACTGTTCATTCTGAGAACCAAATGAACCACACAGATATGTGCCCGAACATTGTGACTTGTTACTGAACATTTATATATACGTATATATACTGCACCTAATTATTATGGAACCTCGGTAATAATTCATAGTATAAATAGTGACAATGACAAGCTATAAAAGCTACTGATTTGTTTTCATAATTGGTGTGCTCTTATTTCAGAATGCACTAATGACGTTTGAAGACGAGAAACTTCAAGAATCCCTACAGACACTGCGTGATATGGAGAAGAGGTGTGCCCAGGACATAGGGTGGCTGAAGGCAGTAAGAAACAAAATGTTTGGAAGTGATAATTCATCGGTGAGTGGTAGACATGATTTGACAAGACTTACTGATAATTGGTTTTCACAGTGGTGATAATCTGAATTGTGTTTTGGAGGAATCTGCTGCCTGGGTCTTCCAGCCAGCAGGTCGAGACAGAGGGGCACACAGTAGTGTAGTTGGCTGAAGCACTATGCTACAAGACAGGAGGTTGCGGGTTTGAATCCCGATGAGGAATGGGAAGGAAGGAAAGTGGGAATGCTGAATCAGAGAAGGAAGATGGGCAGGGAGGCAACCTTTCCTGTCAATTTTCCCTATTGGTCTGCACCAGACACCAGCCCCCACCCTTCATCACATGGATCTGTTGGATTCAGGAACACTGACTCACCCTGCTCACTTCAACCCTTAAGACTGAGGCAGCACCTACCCATGCCAACTCAGTGCAAAGACCCAAGGGCACAATCAGCATCACATCATTCGTTCTATAGACATTACATGCAAGTCCCTGAATAAACAATCTAAAATGTGTTCCATTTTGTCCCCAGATGGGAATGATCTAACATTTCTGTGGAATTTAATTTGGGCATCATTGTCACCTTTCAGGAGAGGGCTCAAGCTGACAAGTTAGAAGAGCAGATTATCCTAGCAGACTCACAAGTGTGTGTGGCCCTTCTTACATTCCTACAGCAAGACCTCACCAGCTGTGTTAAAGGGGGGTGGGTACTTCGTAAAGCCTGGAAGGTGTATCAGCATACGTACTCCCAAATACTGCGGCTCTACAGACAAACATTTGGCTCCGATGACGTGCCAGGTATGTTGTGTGCTTGTCATACAGTTTAACATTTACAAATGTTAACCTTTCAAGCCAAGATTAAATACAAGCAGTTGGAATTCTTTCAGCTCTTTAAATTTTGAAAAAAGATGGAAAAAGTAAAGTTGTCCCTTTGCATCATTAAGCTTCATACTACGAAGGTGAAGGAGTGGAGGTATTGCTCCATATAGTCTTTATTTTAGATCTAGATGGAGTAGAACTTCTAGCCCTGGCTGCTTTAACCCTGGTGAAAGATCACCTGGTGTCCACTCAACAGCAGGCCCAGTGAAAGCAGTATGGACTCTAAAGAAGAGAGAAATCTGTGCCCCTGCTGGGAACTGAACAATGTTCCTGGTCATCTAGCCCAGAGATATTACTGTGCTAATTAAACTGTTCCAGTTCCCTTCAAATCCATGAACAGAAAAAAAAATCGTTTGTAGAAAAGTGAAACAATATATAATGTTGTATTTTAGCGTCCTGTTGCACTGATTTTCATCCA